TGAATCATTTTTGGTTTGACTGTATATCCTTTGGTTATTTTCACACTTAATTATGCCCATTAAAATGTATTTTACAAGTTTTTGTTACTTTCACTGTTCATTGTTTTGCTCTATGGTACATCATCTTTAATTTAATAGCGTTAGAGCTGCTCCATTGCAGCGGCTTAGTACTGTAATCATGCGCTTTGCTGTAATAATGCAGGGAACCACTCGTTATAAATCTCCTAACTGATATTTTCAGAAATAAAAGTCGCGTTTTTTCATCTGAAACGTGCTGCGATTTATATTCCAAAGCCACTCATATAATGCAGAAACACTCAAGCAAGCAAAACACGCGCAACGCGTGCAGGTATTTGTACTGGTGCAGAACAGTACAGCCTAGTGCATTTCACACTAGCTGCTAGTTTCACTTTCGCCAGAAAGTCGTGTATGCCTAAGGTTAAAAATAAATGACGTTTATAGTGAATGCCCCTATAAATGGACTTATTTTTACGATTTAGTTTTAATCCAAATGATGCGTGTGTTAAGTGAGCGAACATCAAAGATCACACAACAGAAGTGCTCGCTCTCTCTCTCTCTCTCCCTACCGTTAAGTAACTTGTGCATTGTTTTACTTACTTGTTTTTGACATATCCGCGCGCTCAATCCACTCAGCGCACTTTGTTTATCAGCTCGCGCACATCAGCTATACAGGCGTTAATACTGAAAGGTTAACATTATATTCATTGCATACATATACTTCGTAGTAGACATCCTTTATCTCTTATAATGCCATTCTGCTGTCTGAATATGGCACTGATCACATGCTGTGTGGTATCAGCGTTTGGTATCGGGGCATTTTAACGAGTAAGAGTACGAGTACAGAAGCTCAGTGTCGGGCGCATCCCTAATATATATATATATATATATGTATGTATGTATGTGTATCGATATATCGGTAATGCGATATATCACGGTAATTAATATGCATGATGTTGTTATCGTGGGCACTTCTAAATACCGTTTATGATTATATATTACAAATTATTCCGAATTTTGAATGCATTTTAAGAATACTTTTCCCATCAACTGGTCAAAATGCACAACACCACTGTATGCTGGATGAAAGACACGTGCGCACTCTGATGTAAACAAGCGTGGACGAGAAGCACATGGCGGAACATGCAAGAGACGCACTGGATGAAAGCGCACTTTCACTCTCTGACAGCAGATGATATAATATATCATAATATATTATATTATTATTAATATAATAATTCATTTAAATGCTGCCGTTACCCCGGAAACCCTGTAAACAAAGCAGCTGCACTACTTTCTGTTTCTGAATCGTGTTTAAGTGATTTAAACAGCCATTCAGATTTGTGTATTTGCTATGATGTTCATCACAGAGCCAAATACTTAAATATTTAGACTTAATAGG